ACAGCAGAGAGTTCCTTATGTGGGATCTTAGAATCTCTTCCTTATAACAATGCTGAGGGTAAAATATTTAGCCCAAAATTTCCCTAACTTTGGGAATGTAAGTAGGGAGAGATAGTTGGCACCTCCTCAAGTCTCTTTTGCCACTCAGTCCTAATTCCTCATGTGAAACTGTTCATTTCTGTCTGGAACTTGATATTATTTAATATTTGCAGAAGTGTCTTGTTTGGCACAATCATACCCCAAGGACGACTGAATTCTGTTGATAGCCCACGTGTCATTACTTTGTGTACTAGGACATTATTCCAGCTTGATGGAAAATCATCAGCCATTATTACTGGAAGTAAACCTGCAGGGTAAAACTGGAGCTTTAATCAGTAGTTTGGCATCAGCTTCCTTGCCCTAACCCAGGGAGTTGACAAGGTATGCTCAAAAAAGTCAAGTTGGTGGCCACAATGGGGTGATTGAGGCTCTGTCATTTTTTTTAATGTGTGTGACATATAAAGTGGACCACCATCTTGACTTTTTTAGCCACATCCTGTGGATACCCCACCTCTAACCTCACTTCTAGGCATCCCTGTTTCTAAATTTAGAGGGCTATTAGCTACCCCTCTGGGTTTAGCAAGTATGGACCTCAGAAGTTTGGCTTGAACCACCTCTTGCCAATATAGGGACCCACTTGAGCACCATACAATACTTGGGCCAAGCTTGGAACTTAGAAAAGTTGTAAGGAGCTGATACCAACTGATACCAGTTCTTCTATCACTGTAACTCAATTTACTTGTTCATCTTGTTGTTGGCCAATATTTTGCTTTATTTTACTGTTTTTAGTTGGATTCTTTCTTTCAGGCCTTTGGCAATAAAGAAGCATGTCTGTATGATTACAAGGTTATGTTTGGTTGTTAGATTTACATCCTGCCTTTTGTTCAGGAGTCCAGTGAGAAAGAGATGACATTGCAAAGGGTTTAGGCAGGTTAGGTTGGCATCAGTGGGGAAATTCACAAAGAACAATCTATTGCTGTGTTTCCCTTAATAAGAGTAAATCACATCCACTCTCTAAATCATGTTGAAGTTCAAGATGGATAAAGAGAAAACCCATTGAGTCAACCAGTCCATTGCTCCCCAAAACTGTGGAATGGAGACAAAAATATTTAGCCAAGCATTGCCCCAGATAGCAAGCCTAAAGTTATTCTTTTCTTTTTAGAGTCCAGCAAAAAGA